TCTTAGAACGCCTGCTAGCGGTAGTGAATTGGGTCCCTTAAAACACGCGCTACCGATAGTGAATTGAGAATCCTTAGAACGCTCGCTACCGGTAGTGAATGGAAACCCTTAGAACGCTCGCTACCGGTCGTGAATTGGGAACTCTTAGAACGCTCGCTACCGATAGTGACTTGGGAACCCTTAGAACACTCGCTACCGGTAGTGAATTGGGAACCCTTAGAACGCTCGCTAGCGGTAGTGAATTGGAACTCTTAGAACGCTCGCTAACGGTAGTGAATTGGGGTTCCTTAGAGCGCTCGCTACCGGTAGTGAATTGGAAACCTTAATTGGAAACCCTTAGAACGCTCGCTACCGGTAGTGAATTGGGAACCCTTAGAACGCTACCGGTAGTGAATTGGTATACCGGTAGTGAATTGGGAATTTTGTCAATGGGGAGCCCTTAGAACGCTCACTACCGGTAGTGAATTGGGAATTCTGTCAATGTGGAGCCCTTAGAACGTTCACTACCGGTAGTGAATTGGGAATTCTGTCAATGTGGAGCCCTTAGAACGCTCACTACCGGTAGTGATTTGGGGTTTCAAAATGTATAAAAAAATGGTGCTATTAAGATAAATAGTGTTCTAACAGGGAGTGACGGTCGCTCCCTGTTAGAACGCTCGCTACCGGTAGTGAGTGTTCTAAGGGAGGGTTGGGAAACATCAACCCAGGGATGATCTTGTGTTTTCGCCGGGGTCTTAGTGAGAAGAACGCAAGATTGATGGTGCCCCAGCGACGGAAAAACTCCACTAGAATGCTCGCTACCGGTAGTGAGTGTTCTAACAGGGAGTGACGGGCGCTCCCTGTTAGAACGCTCGCTACCGGTAGTGAGTGTTCTAAGGGTGCCACCGGAATCATCGACCCAAGGATCATGTTGTGTTTTCGCTGGGGTTGTACTGAGAAGAACCTAAGATTTGGGGTGGTCCAGCGACTCCAAAACTCCACAAGTGCAGTCGCTACCGGTAGTGAGTGTTCTAACAGGGAGTGAAGGTCGCTCCCTGTTAGAACGCTCGATTTAGGGTGGTCCAGCGACGCCAAAACTCCACAAGCGCAGTCGCTACTGGTAGCTTCATCTAGTGTGTGTGTTTTTTCTCACTGGCTGGGTCTCCACAAAAAGCGTTGACAAGGGAGTTCAAAAGACCTTCCAAAGCATTTCAATTTTCAACCATCCCATGCATTTAAACTTTGGGCTCCATTCATCTGGGGCAGTGTCCCACTATCATGCAACGAAAGGTAGTGTAATTTGTCTGCAGCTACTGGGGCTTTGTTTGTCTTCCTTTTTTGACAATCTTCAACTTGTGCTAATTCCATTGGGTGTTAGTTGGGCTTACCTCCCGTCTCCAGCAGTATCAACTATTCAACTAGTTTCCTGCAGAATGCTAGAGAGTGTCCTAGGAGTACCCCATTCACCTGTAGTCCTGTAGTGATCGTTTCAAGAATGCCTCGATTCGTACCAGTAGCGAATCCTGGTGGGTGACCATTCTGTCCAACGATGCCTATATATTCAGTACCACCTTTTCAACTATCATAAAAACAGGTCAGTAGAAGTCAAACTTCCGACAATATGGACAGATGAAAAGCAGAGATGGGAAGAGGCAGAGAGAAGAGAAAGATTAGAAGAAAGAAGAGTAGAAGAGAAAGAGTAAGAAGAAAGAAGATACAGATGCGCGAAAAGGTAGGAAAGTCGCGATTCACTGTGTTTTTCCAATGATTTGGGGCTCCGGAGAGTCGAAAAGTAGGTTCGCTAAAGCGGCGGGTGTGGAGCGAGCTGGCCAGATGAGAGATGGAAAAGTGCACGCCGTTGTGGCGCGAAGCACATTTCGAAGTCAAAATGTACAAAACACCTCAGCGTCGGACCACTTTTGGAAGTTGAGATGTCGAAAAAGTGCACGCCGTTGTGGCGCGAAGCACATTTCGAAGTCAAAATGTACAAAACACCTGGTGCTGGGAGCACTTTTGGAAGTCGCGATGTCGAAAAAGTGCACGCCGTTGTGGCGCGAAGCAGATTTCCAAGTCAAAATGTGCAAAGCACCTCATTGTCGGACCACTTTTGGAAGTTGCGATGTCCAAAAGTGCACGCCGTTGTGGCGCGCAGCACATTTGGAAGTCAACATGTTAAAAACACTACTGTAGGGGTTTGGACCACTTTTGGAGGTCGAGATGTCGAAAAAGTGCACGCCGTTGTGGCGCGAAGCACATTTCGAACTCAAATTGTACAAAACACTAGGGGTTCGGACCACTTTTGGAGGTTCAGATGTCGCTTCGCTTCGGTTCACTACACTACACTATACAATCCACTGCACTACAGTACATTACACTACACTACATTCCACAACACTACAACTACAACTACACAACTACACTCCACTAGACGCCACTACACTCCACTACACTAAATTACACTACACTACACTCCACTACACTACACTCCATTACACTACACTACACTACCTTCCACTACACTTCACTACATTGCACTACACTCCACTCCACTACAACTACAACTACAACTAGAAACTACAACTACAACTACACTACACTCCACTCCACTACACTCCACTAGACTCCACTACACTCCACTACACTACATTACACTACACTACACTACCTTCCACTACACTTCACTACATTACACTACACTACAGTCCACTACACTACAACTACAACTACGACTACACAACTACACTCCGCTACACAAAATTACACTACACTACACAACATCACACTACACTACACTACACTACACTACACTACGCTACATTCCACTACACTCCACTACACTACACTACACTACATTACACTGAATGACACTGCACCACAGACAGATAGACAGACAGACAGACAGATAGATAGATAGATAGGTTGACAGATAGACAGATGAAAGAGAGAGAGAGAGAGAAATAGATAGATAGATAGATAGATAGACAGCTAGACAGATAGACAGATACACAGATGAAAGAGAGCGAGAGAGAGAGAGAGAGAGAGAGAGAAATAGATAGATAGATAGATAGATAGATAGATAGTTAGTAGGTAGATAGATAGATCGATAGATCGATAGATCGATAGATCGGTAGATCGATAGATCGACAGATAGACAGATAGACAGATAGACAGATGAAAGAGAGAGAGATAGATAGATAGATAGATAGATAGACAGATAGACAGATAGACAGATAGACAGATGAATGAGAGAGAGAGAGATAGATAGATAGATAGATAGGTATATAGGTAGATCGGTAGATAGGTAGATAGGTAATTAGATGAAAGAGAGACAGAGAGAGATAGATAGATCGATAGATAGATAGATACATAGAAGACAGGTTGGTAGGTAAGTAGATAGTCAGAGAAAGGGAGAGAAAGAGAGAGAAAGCGAGAGAAAGAGAGGAGACCTCAAGCACCTTTCGGTCCATCAGTGAATTCGCTCTGCCATCCCTGATTCACAACAAGCAATCTCTCCTATAGGTTTCCTATTTTTGAAACTTCCGCCCCCGCCTTGTGCGGTACTACTGGTAATTTATCCAGGTTTGGCCCTGTAGAACCAAAGGTGGCAAAACAGCAGGTTCAAAACCTCTCTAGGAAGCCGGGCGGGCGGGCCCCGAACCAAAGGTGGCAAACGTCAGTTTCGAAACCCTTCAAAGAAGCTCTAGGAAGCCGGGCAGGGGGAGCCCTGTAGAACGAAAGGTGGCAAACGTCAGTTTCGAAACCCCTTACAAAGCCGAGCAGGTGGGCCCCTCTAAAACCACAGGTGGGAAACCGCAGCATCGAAAACCTGAAAAGATGCCTGGCGGGGCCTTGTAGAACCCAAGGTGGCAAACAGCAGTTCATGCTTCGAAGGCTTGACAAGGTTGGGCAGGCCTTGCACACCTGCGGTGGTCCCTGGCGCCGCCCCGCCTAGGCCAAAGCTAGGCAGGGGTCGGCAGACATCGATGCGTAGAGGAAAGTCTGACAAAAAAAGTTTGATGGAGATAAGTTGGATGGTACTAAGTTTGAAAGGGGTAAGTTTGATAGATGCAAGTTTGACAGAGATAAACTTGATACGGGTAAGTCCGATAAAGGCAAGTCTGAGAGAGAGCGAGAGAGAGAGAGAGAGAGAAGGTTTGACAGAAGTAAGTCTGATAGAGATAAATTGGAGGATTTTTGAAGAGGCAAGTTTAATAGCCGAAAGTTGGACAGAGATAGACTTGATACAGGTAAGTCCGATAGATTCAAGATAAGTTTTAGAGACAGAGAGAGAGAGGGAGAGAAGGTTTGACAGAAGTAAGTCTGGTAGAGATAAGTTGGATAAAGGTAATTTTGACGGAGAAAGCTTGATAGAGGCAAGTTTGATAGAGATAAGTTTGACAAAGGTTGATCAGTTCATAGATGTATGTTTGGTCATGGTAAGTTTGATAGAGATCAGTTGACAGAAAAAAGTTGATCAAGGCTAGTTTTGATAGGGATAAGTTGATAGAGATGAGCTGATAGGATAGGTATTTGTGGGTAGATATGTAGATAGATTGAGGAGCAGGCGGATGGAAGAGAAGGAGGAACCCTGGATGCAGCCCCAAAAAAGAATCCCACACTGTGATTTGGGGAGGAAACAACAAAGATCCAGCCATTTGTCGTCCAAACCCAACGTCATGTTTAGACATTCCCAACTTTAGCGGTGGCACCGTGCACTCCGGGCAGAGAAAGTGCTGAACATGGCACCTCTAACCCGTCCGGCACAAAAGGACCCCACCTCCAACTGTACACAAGTGCGGTTCCTTCACTCATTCGCAGACAAGGCTAGAAAATGTCCGAATTGATTCGCTTTGGCCTGATTTGGCTGTTGGGTAACCTTGGTGGATCGGGTAGTTGTATTGAATGGTTCTTTGAAAAGTCTTTGAAAAGTCTATGTTCATATGCTATTTTCCGCCTGGTATGATGCTCCCAATTGAAGGGGAGACGTTTCAGAAACCACCCTCCAGTGTAGCATCTATCGCTGGGAGCAAGGCCTTTTGCAGGATGGAAACTCTCTAGTCAACATGGCTGGTAGTTGAAACCCATGATCATCACCTTGTACTCTAGGGATGCTAATCCAAGTATGAAACGTGAAGTACTACGGGTTTTTACACTCAGGCTGGTTCGTGGTTTGGGGCAGTCGACCCCAGCTGTAGCAGGCACTCTACCAGCTCCTAAAGATCACGTCCAACTGGAGGCTCGGCCAGCGGTGGGTTCGTCCAAGTGGCTGTACCATGGTAATTTCCCTGAGGCAAACTAGCAGGTCGCGCCGCCCTTGGGCAACTGGTGTTTTTTGGCGCCTTTTGTTCTTTGCCTTGTGCTCTTTTGTTCTTGCGCCATTGTCAGCGAGCGTTGCAAGCTTTGGCCAATTGTTTGAGAAAGTGCAATGGAACATTCCCCGACAAATTAATTTAAGTTGTCTAAACATAAGTATACAGTATACTTTTTTATTTATATATATATAGAGAGAGATTATATATACATGTGAGATATATATATATATATGTGTGTGTGTTTACGTAAGTGAGAAATATATCTATGTGCACAAATATAAACAAGAAGATATGTACATTTGTATGTATACATCAATAGTGAAAACAAATGTATATGTATGCACATGTTTATTTACATATATGTATCTAAATGTGATTTTCATTGCGTAATATTGTGTATACATATAAATAACACGGGCAAACCCGAAGTTCACGAAACATACATGACGTGAGCAAGCTTACAGGGATTTTAACATCCCCCCACCCCATCCAAAGGTCGGCACATCGCTTGTGCCTCGGGGTTTTCGTCGCTTGTGCCTCGAGTTTTCTATCGCTTGTGCCGCGGGCATGTGTTCAGTACGCTCCCTACCTTTGTCCATAGGGTTTCTATGTTTTGTCTCTCCGTGTTTTTTATCTTTGGTGTTTCTGACTAAGTGGCTTCTATCTCTGGCTTCTATATGGCCTTTGGGTTTGCCTGCACACTGGCTTCTATGTCTGGCGTCAATATAGCTTCTATGTTTGATTTCTAAGTGACTTCTATCTTTGGCTCCTATATGGCAATATTTTTTTTGTGCGTCGTTGATTCGGATTCCATGTTTGCCTGCTCAATAGCTTCCATGTTTGGCGTCCATGTGGCTTCGAAGTTTCGCTTCCAAGTGGTTTCTAAGTCTGTGGCTTCCATGTGGCATTTTTGTTCGCGTGCTACGTGACGTCCATGTTGGGTGCCAACATGGTTTCTATGTTTGGCTCCTACTTGGTGGATGGTTTTGATTTACAGCACTTGCAAGTAACATGTAACCTAGTTGTAAGGTAGTTACAACCCTGTTGTATCTAAGCTAAGTAAGCTAAGTGTTTATCTTATTTTACGGTAGTTGTAAGTAGTTACCAAAGACAAACTAGATAGTAAGTTTTTAAAGTTTTTTTGAGTGAACCAAAAAAACAACTTAAATAACTTATAAGTAACTTAGGAAACTTAACTTTTTTGGATTTTAGAAGCTACTATTTTTTGTGTTGGAACTAGACGACGGATGGCCCGAGAGCGTAGAGGAGCAGGGTCTTCTCTTGTTAGTATGGAGACATGCACACGAACGTGTCTGCGCAAAAGAAGATCAAGGCACTTTTACACACAGACACTTTTACCCACAGAAGCTTTTACAGACAGAAGCTTTTACACAGACGCTTGCACACACACAGACGCTTTCACACACAGACGCTTTTACACACAGACGCCTTTACACACAAACACTTTGACACACAGACACTCTTACACACAGACGCTTTTACACACAGACGCGTTTACACACAGACCCTTTTACACACAAAAGCTTTACACACAGACGCTTGTACACACAAAAGCTTTTACACACAGACGCTTTTACACACAATCACTCTTACACACAGACACTTTTACACACAGACGCTTTTACACACAAAAGCTTTTACACACAAAAGCTTTTACACACAGACGCTTTTACACACAGCTTTTACACACAGACTTTTACACACAGACGCTTTTACACACAGACGTTTTTACACACAGACGCTTTTACACACAGACGCTTTTACACACAGAAGCTTTTACACACAGACGCTTTTACACACAGACGCTTTTACACACAGACGTTTTTACACACAAACACTTTGACACACAGACACTCTTACACACAGACGCTTTTACACACAAAAGCTTTTACACACAGACGCTTTTACACACAAAAGCTTTTACACACAGACGCTTTTACACAATCACTTTTACACACAGACACTTTTACACACAGACCCTTTTACACACAAAAGCTTTTACACACAGACGCTTTTACACACAGACGCTTTTACACACAGACGCGTTTACACACTAACACTTTTACACGCAGACGCTTTTACACACAGGCGCTTTTACACACAGACGCGTTTACACACAGACCCTTTTACACACAAAAGCTTTTACACACAGACGCTTTTACACACAAAAGCTTTTACACACAGACGCTTTTACACACAATCACTTTTACACACAGATACTCTTACACACAGACGCTTTTACACACAAAAGCTTTTACACACAAAAGCTTTTACACACAGACGCTTTTACACACAGACGCGTTTACACACTAACACTTTTACACACAGACGCTTTTACACACAGACCCTTTTACACACAGACGCTTTTTACACACAGTTACACACAAAAGCTTTTACACACAGACGCTTTTACACACTAACGCTTTTAGACACAGACGCTTTTACACACAATCACTTTTACACACAGACGCTTTTACACACACAGACGTTTTACACACAATCACTTTTACACACAGACGCTTTTACACACACAGACGTTTTACACACAATCACTTTTACACACAGACGCTTTTACACACAGACGCTTTTACACACTAACACGTTTACACACGGACGCTTTTACACACAGACACGTAAAATCGCAATTTTACCTCAGTTTTCGCCGATCGACCCTCATTTCGTGCGAAAGGGTTGCTCGGGGACGGGACAAGTAAATTCGCAATTTTATTTCAGTTTTTGCCAATCGACCCTCATTTCGTGCGAAAGGGTTGCTCCGGCACAATAAACCTTAGTTTTCGACGATCGACCCTCATTTCGTGCGAAAGGGTTGCTCGGGGACAAGTAAAATCGCAATTTTACCTCAGTTTTCGACGATCGAACCTCATTTCGTGCGAAAGGGTTGCTCCGGCACAAGTAAAATCGCAATTTTACGTCAGTTTTCGCCGATCGACCCTCATTTCGTGCGAAAGGGTTGCTCGGGGACAAGTAAAATCGCAATTTTACGTCAGTTTTCGCCGATCGACCCTCATTTCGTGCGAAAGGGTTGCACCGGCAACAATTAAAATGGCAATTTTACCTCAGTTTTTGCCCATCGACCCTCATAAGGGTTGCTCGGGGACAAGTAAATTCGCAATTTTATTTCAGTTTTTGCCGATCGACCCTCATTTCGTGCGAAAGGGTTGCTCGGGGACAAGTAAAATCGCAATTTTACCTCAGTTTTCGACGATCGAACCTCATTTCGTGCGAAAGGGTTGCTCCGGCACAAGTAAAATCGCAATTTTACGTCAGTTTTCGCCGATCGACCCTCATTTCGTGCGAAAGGGTTCACGTTTCGTGACTCCCCGCCGGCACCACCCTCGGCCTAAAGAGAGAAAGATAAAGAAGGCGAGTGAGAGAAAAGGAAGAGAGAAAGGTGAGAGAGAAAGGAGAGAGGAAAGAGGAGAGAGAGTGAGAGAGAGAGAAGATGAGAAGGTGTGAGAGAAGGTGTGAAGATGAGAAGGTGTGAAGATGAGAAGGTGTGAAGATGAGAAGGTGTGAGAGAAGGTGTGAAGAGGAGCAGATGTGAAGAGGAGCAGATGTGAAGAGGAGCAGATGTGAAGATGAGCAGATGTGAAGATGAGAAGGTGTGAGAGAAGATGTGAAGATGAGCAGATGTGAAGATGAGAAGGTGTGAGAGAAGATGTGAAGGTGTGAAGATGAGAAGGTGAGGATGAGAAGGTGTGAGAGAAGGTGTGAAGATGAGAAGATGAGATACAGACCCCCACTATTGGAAGAACCCTGCGCTCAGACGCTCTCGGGAATAAAAACATACAAAAAACACAAGGTTTGGGTTGGAAACGAATTAAAACCATGTTTTTGTTTTTTTGATATTTTTGTCGGAAGGCGGCTCTATGAGAAGCCTATCGGGAAAAGTTTTGTGATGCTGAGTCTTTTTGTTGATATGTTATCTTCCTCTCGTTTGGACAACAGGATGGATACGAAGTAAAAAGCGTTTGGGCTCTTGGAAAGATCATGAGGCCACAGCCCCTGTGAGGTGTGTATAAAGCCTTTTCAATAGAATTGGAGGTTATGGCGGTCCATTGGACCGCCTGTGCATCAAGGGTATTTATACATTGTTGGGGCTACATGAAGAAACACAAAGCAGCTGCACATATTTTTCCAACATGTTGGCGGTCCATTGGACCGCCTTTAGGGAAGGAATGATGTTCTAGTGGAAGTGGAAATGTTTAAAATGGATGATTATATTTGTTTCATGTTCAGTTTTGGTTCAGCATATCATATTTCTCAAAAAAACACAAAATACAAAACACATTTTTACACATTTTTACACATTTTTACACATTTTTACACATTTTACACATTTTTTACACATTTTTACACGTGTGTAAGTGGATTTTTTTGGGTTTACACATGTGTAAGTGGATTTTTTTTGGTTTACACATGTGTAAGTGGATTTTTTGGTTTACACATGTGTAAGTGGATTTTTTTTGACTTACACATTCTTACACATCCTTACACATCCATACGCATTCAGGTATATTGTAGTCTTTTTGGTTCATGCTTTCTTACAATGACATCATATGATATGCTTTTCAATCCTTCAAAATGACTGCGGTCCAATGGACTGCATATCTTGTTGCATTTCTTGCAATGAACTTACGCGTGATAAGCATGTCTATTGATTCAAAAGTGCGGCCCACTGGATCGCATGCCTATATAATTCTCTGGTCAATCAAAAACATATTGTTGGGGTTTATGTTTCATCAAGGGAAGTAGCGGCTACCGACAACTCCTGTTCTGAACCATGAACCATGAAACCAAACCGAATTTGAATGCCACGTCGCACGCCTTTGGTCATCCGTGGATGTTCTATCCTGCGGCCCTTTGGGCAGCAACTCTCTCATTTATTTTTTTCCAAATTAAAATTGTCCAACCCAAAGTTTAAAAACATCAAAAATTCGAAGAAAACTTACGAAACAAATGTTTCTTCAACACAAAAAATAAAAATGCAAAACGCAATGATGAAGGAAAAAACTGCTAAAATACCTTTCTTTTCATGTTCAAAATAACTTAAAATAACTTAAAAACTTGCAAGTTGCTTATATCTAACTTATGTTACTTAGAGCTACAATTAAAAAGTTAAGTTTCCTAAGTTAACTTGTAAGTTGTGTAAGTAGGTCAAGTGCCATAAGTAATTTACATGTATTCTATCTCAAAACCATCCACCAAGTAAGTGGTTTCTATGTTTGCCATCTATGCGGTTTTTATGTCTAAATGGTTTCTCTTTATGGTTTCCAAGCGGCGTGTATGTCTGGCATCTCAAAACCTCCATGTCTGGCATCTAAGTGGTTTCCATGTTGCGTTTGTCAGCGTCTGCTATGTGTGGCTTTTGAATGCATCTCAGTGTTTGCGCAGGTTGCCTTGTACGTGGTCTCTTGGCGGGCATTTAATTGTGTAATTGCTGCGTATGCATCGCGCCACCGCAGCGGCTTAGTGGTTTCAACGTGTGCTTTCCGATGGATCTTACGTCTGTTTTTTTGATTTGATGCGGCTTCCAAGTCTTATGTCGGAGGATCCATCTCTTAACTCCAGCATGCAACACCAAAAAGCACAACTCACCCTTACAACCTGCAGCAATTCTGCGAGACTTCCTCAGTTTTTGAAGTTGACAACATCAAAAACGAAGCAATTCTGCGAGACTTCCTTCAAAAATGGAAAGTTGAGTGCAGAGCTGATGACCTCGTACCAATGCGTTTTGCGGTTTTTCCACTCCACCTGTCTAAAGTACTGCGCCTGCCACGAAAAAGTGATGCCAGGTCATACGAAGTGCTGCACCTGTCACGCAAAATCATTTCAGTAAACCTACAGATCTGATGCTCCAAAATGCAGCCCTTCTCAGGAAATGAGCGCCCTGACCTCCGAACATCTCTGATGAACATGTCTTTTGTACTGCACCTGCCACGCGAAATGCATCTTTGAAGATCCTCTTCAAATGCCCCACGCCTGCCATCGTTTCTGGAAATGCTGCAAAACCCTCACGTTTTGCTCACATTTGACAAGGTGCAGAATCCTTTGCGCCTGCCACGCAAAACGACATCTGAACCTCCAAAAGTGGCGCGAACATGTGGTGTTTTGTGCATTTTGACTTCGAAATGTGCTTCGCGCCACAACGGGCGTGCACTTTTTCGACATCTCAACTTCCAAAAGTGGTCCGACAATGGTGTGCTTTGTACATTTTGACTTGGAAATGTGCTTCGCGCCACAACGGCGTGCAATTTTTCATCTCTCATCTGGCCAGCTGGCTCCGCACCCGCCGCTTTAGCGAACCTACTTTTCGACCCTCCGGAGCCTCAAATCATTGGAAAAACATAGTGTTTCAGTGTTTCGCGACTTTCCTACCTTTTCGCGCATCTGCATCTTCTTTCTTCTGACTCTTTCTCTTCTCTGATCTTCTCTCTTCTACTCTCCTCTTCTGTCTGCCTCTGCCCTGCTCTGCTTTTCATCTGTCCATATTGAATTGTCGGAAGTTTGACTTCTAAACTTCCTTCGATGATATCGATCGTCATAGCTAAAGACGTGTTTGGTTTGTCCGTATATAGAGCAACTATATAAACATCAGCAGAATTTGCAACTGGACCGTCCTAAGAGACCAAACGATCTGATCGACTTGTCGCTTTCAGTTTTGGTTCCCCTTCCGTTTGACATGGAAAGCAGCAAAGTGTGTATGGGAGAGGCGCTACTGTTTAAGATATGCGAGACAAGATTTCCGGATAGTTCCAAAGGGCCCAGTTTGTCTGGAAACAAACGTGGAAAACGCTTCATTGCTCAATCATTCACCAGCGAAAGACACCAGACGCACCTTGGGACGTCCGGATGCAGTGATGCTCCCAGTTGTAACTATAGGTGAACACTTTTTAATAGTTGAAAAATGTTGAAAATCCAGTCGATCCGGGTAATTTTACGTCGACAAACAAACACCATTTGTAAGCCCATTGCTCATGATCTATGTCCAGCTGGTTCCCATGGCATTCCATTGCATTCCATGGGCCCGCTGAAAATCGTCAACTCCGAGGAGAACATCGACATCGGTCGCGCCGCGGCGTTGGTCATGGCCAATGCCTCCTCGGACAGTGGGAATCTGGCGGGGGAACCCAGGCCGTGGGCAGTCTGCGTGGTGGGAAGTCCACTTGGGGAAATTTGACAGAAAATGAGGGTGATGGAAGTTGATTTAGCCAGAGACTTGCTGGGATGGTTTGAGTCACCAGGGGTGATTGTTTTGGGGTAGGTTGGAGCCAAACCAAATCGACGGAGGCAGAGATTCAAAGCAGATGGAAGTTAGGATTTTCCATGGATGAAATTATGAAACATTGATTTTCTAGAAGAGCCACGGTCGGACACTCACTTTCTCATTTTTTGTTGGGCCAATCATTTCAAGGGATACCTTGTTGGAACATGTTGGAACCCATGTTTCAAAACATTAGAAAACCCCACCCTGCGGCGCAGCTTCTTTCCGCAGCTTCCTTTGCCCCGCGCGGGGGCCCCGGCGTTTTGGTTACGCTGGCCCCTCCGCCATGAGTTGGGACCTCGGATCTGGTCACAAGTCAAGTTGGAGGTCCGGGATGTCCCTATCAGTGATCACAAGTCCGGTTGAAAATTAGGGCGACCTCTAAAAATCCAGTGCTTCATAGTGCTTCATAGTGGTTTTTTTAGTTCATCAGTTCATCCTCATTTTCGCCCCATTTGTCCGGGATGTCGCAGGTCTGGATGTAGATGCTGAGAAGGAGATCCCCAGCTGTGAGCTCATCGCCACCAAATGCATCGGCAGTGGGGTGACCTCGGAGGTCTACCAAGGACATTGGAACCGCATCGGCAGGGTGGCTTGGTGCCGAGTTGGGAAACGCTGGGAAGATGTTGAGCCTGAAGAGTTGGTGGGAGAAGGTAGCTTGAAAAAAAGAGAAGGGCATTGAGCAACAGGTGATTCTGATGATCAGCACCTGACATATCATTTGAATGTCTCAATCCGAGTAGATGTTCAAATTCCAAAAAATTTCCCCGTTAACGTTGAAATCCCCAGGGTTTAAGCCCCAGTTTGCAGGCTATATCCCCAGCAATGCTCATCCTCAGCAGGTGGTGGCCATCAAAATGATCACTGACCGAAGTGCCTTCCGAAAAGATGAGCAGTTGGCCTTTGCCAGAGAAATGAAAGTTCTCACGCAGGTGTCGAAAGATGGGAAATTGGGAGGCCGTGGCCTTTTTAGGAAAAAACGAAAACCCTGGGAACTCGGATATAATTTTATGGTGTATATCGCTATATCATCATATATCATCATATGTATGTATATATATATATAGATAGAGCTATGTAACATACATACATAGGATCACTGTCTGTGTCTATGCGATGTATTATACGATTTGGGACACTCAAAGATATTCTACCAGTCACTAGCCTTGTAGTACCCCCTCAAAAACGCTCACAAGTCTCAGGCTTCGGTTCCAAAGGGCCTGCCAGGTACAACATGAGAACCTGGTGACATTCTATGGGGTTTGCATTGATTCCCCACCTTTGCGCATTGTCACCGAGTTCTGCCACTCGGATCCACTTGGCTCAGTTGGCTCAGAGACTGACAACCGCTTGAAGCGTTTTGTGGCATGATGTTGCATGAAAATCATGAAACAAAATGTGAGAGTCTGTGCCAAATTTGGCAACATGTGCTAAAACACGAAAACCTGTTTCTGTTTCTGAGCATCATATCCAATTCATATCCAATTCAACTGAATTTCCATACATGGCACCTGGTGGGAAGGCCGGACCCTGCAAGGTGAAGGCGGCGCCTGTTTCGAACTCCTCCATAACTCGGATGATGTGGATCTCATTTGGCCACAGCAGATTAAAATGTGCAGCTTGGTGCGTGTGGAACCTCTGGCCAACAAAATTGGTATCCAGGTATTCAATTGGTATTCAAGTGTTGCCCAACATTGGAAGAACATGCTCATTAATGTGTCTTGTTCTTTGATTTTTGGATTGTTGGTCCTGTCGTTCATGAGAGTACCATAGTTAGACGGCCGCATCTCAATCTATTTATAGGTCAGAAAAAGAAACATGGAGACCCGCTTTAGCCTTGGATTTCATTTGGCCTCAAGGAGCGGGGAAGGTTCAATCGAACCCCAAGGTTTTCATGCTCAACGAAAGCCCGATGTATTTTGTGGGGAGTTAGATGAATGGAACAGTGTAATGTAGTGGCAGGCAGTGTGTCACAAAGAAGGGTATTTCTGAAAATGGGTTACAGTCAATTCCAGTGGATTATCATCATTTTCTGCCCATTAAATGGCCATAAATGGGTTGCGATATACCTCTGACAGACCTCGGCCGACCCTTCCCATCCTTATGTTTTGGGTTGGCTTGGGCCCGGCATTTTATAGAACAGATGGATCCCAGACCACAAAGATCAAGCTGTGCAATGTCTTAATTGTTTCAGCATTAGCTATTCATGGCGAAACTGCGAGTGGGTGAACGGCTCACTGATTTTGATGGTTGGTTCCTGCTGTAGGTAAGGTAATATTCTAGAGCTAACGCATGTGTCCAAGCTCGACTTCAAAGAAGGGTTGCGTTCACCGTCTAGGAGGTACAGAGTTGATCCAGATCCCATCTGGTCTAGCAGCGAATTCCGGATAACTTGACCAACCGCACGGCTTTGCGTCATTCAAGTTTCTGACCTATCAGCTTCGGACGGCAACGTGTTCGCTTGGCATGGCTGTGAAAAAATATTTTCTCTTGTATTGGCCTCCGTTCCGCCAACTAACTTGCTTCATTCTTTAGCCCTGCAACTAGGGTTTGGGTGTATATTGGGAAATTGTAGACTGTTATCCAACGTGTTTTTTGCATTTTCATGATGCTGATGGCGCAATTTCTTAGATAAATTGCCAGCTGCCTCAATTTTACCCATACAGAGGTGACTGGAGCGAGAAGTTTCCAAAAGGTCTGCAAAACCACCTAAGCATATCTAATCAACGTCTCCCCAGCTAGACTGCTAGACGGCCAAAAAACGCCTCAGCTGGTGCGAGGTGGGTGCAACTTGTTTTCTGCCTATTTCAGACCCCCTTTCAGACCTGCTTTCGGGCTGGGCTTCCAAGCTCTGAAAATGGAAGTCTGCAAGAGCCGGCCTCAAGCGTTCGAAAGCCGCAGCACGCTGATTCTGCACATAGCCTGTGGGCTTCTAAATCTGTTAGCTCACAATTTCTTTGTGCCACTTCCAATCCCTACCGCAGCGCCCAGCTCGGCACCCTTAGGTGCTTCAATTTTACCCATACGTGACGTAGCTGGAATTGGAGGTTACCAATAGGTCTGCGCGGCCACCTGAGCATAATCACTTGCTGCAGGTGCATCGCAGTGGGCTACACAAATGCAATACAATCAAATACACATTTAAACGGCACAAAGATCTGAGGGGAATGGCACCGAAGGGCGCGAACAAACGGTTAGGTGAAACAAGCGGCCCTGCAACTGCGACAGGTTTCTAAATGACCCCAGGGGCCTTGCTAAAATATTCAGGTTGCGCTTCGAAACCCTGGGTTGTGCTTCATCGAGGCGAGATGAAGCGCAACCCTGTATTTTTAACTTTTGAGCAGATAATTACTGGTCGAAGCACCCCAACATTCATCCACCAGTCGAAGCAACCCTCCATTCCAAGTTAAAGCGAGGCGATGAAAGAATGCCAGAAACTGCTAGTCAAAAGTTAGCAATACAGGGTTGCGCTTCATCTCGCCTCGATGCAGCACAACCCAGGGTTTCGAAGCGCAACCAGGGCCATCCACAGCACAACCGTGGCGCGCTCAAACACTGGGTTGCGCTTCATCTCGCCTCGATGAAGCACACCCCTTTGGTCAGTTCATTTTCATCATTTTCTTCATTTTCCCATGATTCATCAACTTCCCATCTACTTGCGTTTGCTTCGGAGGCTATGAATATTTTAGCAAGGCCCCTCGGGTCATTTAGAAACCTGTCGCAGTTGCAGGGCCGCTTGTTTCACCTAACCGTTTGTTCGCGCCCTTCGGCGCCATTCCCCTCAGATCTTTGTGCCGTTTAAATGTGTATTTGATTGTATTGCATTTGTGTAGCCCACTGCGATGCACCTGCAGCAAGTGATTATGCTCAGGTGGCCGCGCAGACCTATTGGTAACCTCCCATTCCAGCTACGTCACGTATGGGTAAAATTGAAGCACCTAAGGGTGCCGAGCTGGGCGCTGCGCTAGGGATTGGAAGTGGCACAAAGAAATTGTGAGCTCGCAGATTTAGAAGCCCACAGGCTATGTGCAGAATCAGCGTGCTGCGGCTTTCGAACGCTTGAGGCCGGCTCTTGCAGACTTCCATTTTCAGAGCTTGGAAGCCCAGCCCGAAAGCAGGTCTGAAAGGGGGTCTGAAATAGGCAGAAAACAAGTTGCACCCACCTCGCACCTGCTGAGGCGTTTTTTGGCTGTCTAGCAGTCTAGCTGGGTAGCCGCTGCAGGTCTCATACCAACCGTGGTCCACCATTGAGCCAGCGCCATCTGCCCCATGAAAGTGCAGAAAAGACGTTGAATAACATTCTGCAATAAGCCAGTAAATATCCATGGCGTGCTTGGGTGGCCTGAAGACTCTTCGGCAACTTCCCATTCCAGCTGCGTCATGTATGAGTATACTTGAGGCACAGAAAGGTCATCAATGAATTGAGCACTGTCAAGAATGGGCGCATGCAGCCCTTCAAGATCAAGTCAGCAGCTGATGATATTTCATTTTCTGCCTTGTCGGCCAATAGGAGCCGATGGGCCCCACACCTCCATTCTATTTATGTATATACACAAAAACTTTACACTATGTATGTATGTATTTATATATATATACATACATACATACATATACACATGTGTAGGGCAAGGTAAAAAAAAATGTTTAAGGTGCAAAAGAACCATTGTTTGCACACACGCACACACGCACACACGCACACACACATATGTATATATATATATACATACGAAATCTAGCAGGATGTGATCCCAACATTGTTCAATATCTACATATATATCTATATATATATATTTACATATAGATATTTATTTATCGAAGGAAGTTTAGAAGTCAAACTTCCGACAATATGGAGATGAAAAAGCAGTCAGCAGGGAGAAGAGTTAGAAGAGAAAAGATCAGAAGAAAGAAGATGCAGGTGCGCGAAAAGGTAGGAAAGTCGCGAAACACTGTGTTTTTTCGTGGTTTTGTGGCTCCGGAGGGTTGAAAAGTAGGCTCGCTAAAGCGGCGGGTGCGGAGACATCTGGGGAGATGAGAGATGAAAAGTTGCACGCCGTTGTGGTGCGAAGCCGATTTCGAAGTGAAAAGGTACAAAACACCTCAGCGTCGGACCACTTATGGAAGCTGAGATGTTGATAGAGTGCACGGCATTGTGGCGCGAAGCAGATTTGGAAGTAAAATGTGTTAAAAACTGAGGGGTTCGGATCACTTTTGGAAGTTGAGATGTTAAAAACTGAAGAGTTCGGAGCAGTTTTGGAAGTTGAGATGACGAAACAGTGCACGGCGTTGTGGCGCGAAGCACATTTGGAAGTAAAAAGTGTTAAAAACTGAGCGTCTCGGAGCACTTTTGGAAGTTGAGATGTTGAAAAAGTGCACGCCGTTGTGGCGCGAAGCACATTTCGAAGTCAAAAGTGTTAAAAATTGATGGGTTCGGAGCACTTTTGGAAGTTGAGATGTTGAAAAAGTGCACGGCGTTGTGGCGCGAAGCACATTTCGAAGTCAAAAGTGTTAAAAACTGAGGGGTTCGGATCACTTTTGGAAGTTGAGATGTCGAAAAAGTGCATGCCGTTGTGGCTCGAAGCACATTTGGAAGTCAAAAGTGTTAAAAACTGGCGGTCTCGGAGCACTTTTGGAAGTTGAGATGTCGAAAAAGTGCACGGCGTTGTGGCGCGAAGCACATTTCGAAGTCAAAAGTGTTAAAAACTGAGCGTCTCGGGGACATTTTGGACGTTCAGACGTCGTTTCGTACGGTAGGTGGCGTGGATTGTGCATCCACTGAAAAGTGACTAAAACGTGAGGGTTTTGTGGCATTTTCAAAAACGATGGCAGGCGTGGGAGATTTGAAGAGGATCTGCACAGATGCATTTTTCGTGGCAGGCGCAGTACAAGAGGCATCTTCAGCAGAGATGTTCGGAGCTCAAGGAGCTGCTTTCCTGAGAGGGGTTGCATTTTGGCGTATCAAATCATCAGCTATGCCAAGATGCTATTTCGTGACAGGTGCAGCATTTCGTATGACCTGGACTAACTTTTTCGTGGCAGGCGCAGTACTTTAGAGACACGGCATGGAAAAATCGCAAAACGCATTGGTACGAGGCCGTCAGCTGTACAGTCAACTTTCCATTTTTGAAGGAAGTCTCGCAGAATCGCTTCGTTTTTGATGTTTTCAACTGCAAAAAGTGAGAAAGTCTCGCAGAATTGCTTCGTTTTTGATGTTGCCAACAGAAGTCTAGCAGCATTGTTTTGTTGTCGTCGTGGCGGTTAGACAGATTGATCGACAGGTCAAGAGGTAGATCGAAGGACAGGTGGAGAGAGAACTTGACGGATGAAAAGATGCATAGATAGACACATAGGGAGATAGATCGATAGTTTACTAGATAGATGGACAGATAGACAGATAGACAGATAGACAGATCGATAGATAGATAGATAGATACATAGATGGAGACATAGAAAAACAGACAGAGACATAGATGGGTAGGTAGGTAGCTAGACAGATAAAAAGATAGAGAGATAGATGGGTGGGTAGGTAGGTAGAAAGATAGATAGAGAAATAGATAGGGACAGAAATAGAGAGACACATGCATGGAGTTAGCGCATAGGGTTAGCCGTTGTTAACGGCATCAGAGAGATCTGGCTTCACGTAACTTTTCAGGCGCTATGAACATGTGATGATTAGCATGCATGCATACGCCGTGCTGACGAAGTCACAGGTGGTTTGGAAACAGCGCAGCATGGATGTTGATGTTCCTGACTGTTGCCAGCCTCTTATTTATTGCATGGATGTGTACGCATGCAGAAGTCACTTGTGTTTTTTCTGACCAGAGTGACTTGACTCAATGCAGCATTGAGCTGCGACACCCGGTAGTTTTTTTTCTCGGACCGCTGCAGGCTTCATATTTCGATTTGTCGTGCACGTATGTTGACGTGGCAATGCGGAAGTCACCCAGCATTGAGTCAGTGCAGCATTGAGTTGCCGCATCCGGTGTTTGTGACCTCACTACACAGATCCGTCGACGAAGCAACTCTTGTCGGTGTGTTTTTTCTGGCCGCCGGCAAAGATGTCTCGAATCTTAGCAGCCGAGCAAAAAGCAGTGCATGGTGCTGCTCCCCCGGCAGCACAGTGTGTTTTTTTCCGGGCGGTCGCCACCGTTTTGGGTGCTGCACTTATTTTTATGCCGGCATGAAGAAGGCACATGTGTTTCTTTCGACCAGTGACTGGACTCAATGCAGCATTGAGCTGCGACAGCCGGTTGGACAGTCTGTATGTTTGTGTGTGCATCGGACTGCTACAGGCCTCGTATTTCAAGCACTGATGTTGACACTGCCAGGGAGAGGTCACCCAGCATTGAGTCAGTGCAGCATTGTTGCCGCACCCGGCCTGCCAGCACTTCGCATGACAGATCCGTCGATGACGCAACGCTTGTCGGTGTGTCTTTCTGGCCGCCGGCAAAAACATGTTGAGTCCCAGGTGTCGACCGAAAAGCGTTGCATTGTTAGGGTCTGGTGACGGTTCCGTGTCCGCTTTGGTTGGTTCGTGAGAGATAGTAACACCAGGGTGTGAAAAGTGCTTTTCTGTTATATCACCGGGGTTACACTTTTGTTTTCTTTTAGATCAGATAAATATCTCGACAGTCATTTGGGAGAATGTCATGCAACAAGTATTCATTGTAGGGTTACTGGACAAGAGGGGGCATTTACCACATCATGGATTTTTGGACAGGGCTTCACAAGCACATGTGACTTGACGATTCATTGTTGTTTGGTTTAGTGGCTACATAAGGACATTTCCTGTGATTGTTTCCAGTCACCAGTTCATCGAAGGAAGTTTAGAACTCAAACTTCCGACAATATGGACAGATGAAAAGCAGAGATGGAAAGGGTCAGAGAGAAGAGAAAGATTAGAAGAGAGAAGCGTAGAAGAGAAAGAGTCAGAAGAAAGAAGATGCAGATGCGCGAAAAGGTAGGAAAGTCGCGAAACACTGCGTTTTTCCAATGTTTTGTGGCTCCGGAGGGTCGAAAAGTACGCTCGCTAAAGCGGCGGGTGCGGAGCCAGCTGGCCAGATGAGAGATGAAAAATTGCACGCCGTTGTGGCGCGAAGCACATTTCCAAGTCAAAATGTACAAAGCACACCATTGTTGGACCACTTTTGGAAGTTGCAATGTTGAAAAAGTGCACGGCGTTGTGGCGCGAAGCACATTTCGAAGTCAAAAGTGTTAAAAACTGAGGGGTTCGGATCACTTTTGGAAGTTGAGATGTCGAAAAAGTGCATGCCGTTGTGGCTCGAAGCACATTTGGAAGTCAAAAGTGTTAAAAACACTAGGGATTCGGACCACTTTTAGAGGTTCAGATGTCGCTTCGCTTCATTACACTACACTACAGGACATTACACTACACTACACTCCAGTACACTGCATTACACTACACTACACTCCAGTACAGTCCACTACACTAAATTACACTACACCACTCTGCATTACACCACACTACATTACACTGAATGACACTGCACCACAGATAGACAGGTAGACAGATAGATAGATAGATAGATAAATAGATAGACAGACAGACAGATAGACAGGTAGACAGCTAGACAGATAGACAGATGAAAGGGAGAGATAGCTAGATAGGTAGATAGATAGAAAGATAGATAGGTAATTAGATGAAAGAGAGAGAGAGAGAGGCCAGCTGGGTGGATGAGATAGATAGATAGATGGCTAGACAGATAGATAGATAGATAGATAAATAAATAAATAGATAGATAGATGGACAGAGAGACAGACAGACAAATAGATAGAGAGACAGCTAAATAAAAAGATAGATAGATAGACAGACAGACAGACAGACAGATAGATAGAGAGACAAATAGATAGAGAGACAGCTAAATAAAAAGATAGATAGATAGATAGATAGATAGTAGATAGACAGACAGACAGACAGACAGACAGATAGATAGATAGATAGATTAGATTAGATAATTAGATAGATAGATAGATAGATAGATAGTAGATAGATAGACAGACAGACAGACAGACAGACAGATAGATAGATAGATAGAGAGACAAATAGATAGAGAGACAGCTAAATAAAAAGATAGATAGATAGATAGATAGATAGATAGTTAGATAGACAGACAGACAGATAGATAGGTAGACAGGTAGATCAGTAGGTAGGTCGGTAGATAATCAGAGAAAGATAGAGAAACAAAGAGAAAAAGAGAGAAAGAGAGAGAAAGAGAGGAGACCTCAAGCACCTTTCAGTCCATCAGTGGCTTCGCTCTGCCATCCCTGATTCACAACAACCAAACTCTCCTATAGGTTTCCAATTTTTGAAACTTCCGCCACCGCCTTGTGCGGTACTACTGGTATTTCTATTTGCACATAGGTACCTTTTTTGCGTTTACAAACCAACGTTCTATTTTATGGGAATCCAACGTCACCGCCAATACCCCTTGGCTGAGGTAAAGATGTGGCAGCTGCCATGTACTATTTGCCCCTTGGAGAGTTTGCCAAAGTTGCTTTGGGAAGAGGTATCTGATTTAGGCCATTTAATGATATTTGCAGAATATGTGAGAAGAGTTCAAACATTAAGTATTTGTACATCTGCAGGTGGCTGTTCTCTGCTTGCAAATGGTTGCTTTTGCGGTATGCCGTCCCCTTCTACTCTCTCAGAATTGTTGGAAACAGGCAGCTTTTCATCCAACGCAAACTATATTTCTGCCCTCTCCAAAGACCAATTTACTGCGCCTGGTAAAATTCATAAGGTTGGCAAATTCATACAAATGGCAGGTGATCCCCAGCCCAGTGAGTCAAAAGACGTCAGAAATACCATGTAAATTCATGAGCCGGTCTTCCCAACCAGGATATCAAGGTACCGCACATCCAATTTCTTCCACTGTCGGAACTGGTGGCCTCCGCGAATTGTTACCCGAAAACTGGATGCTTTCCCGCACCTTCTGGCGGCAAAGGCACACCTTTGATCCTATGATCATTCACCGGGATCTGAAATCGTGGCTGGTCCTCATTTTGGATGGTCGCGGTGAGGGGGACTGGAAGCTGACCACCCTAAGATTCAGTCCTTAGTAAGTCTGCTTGCAGCCAAAGATTCGTTGCTTTTCTTATGTTGAATGTAGCAACACTTTCGGGCCTTGGTTGTGTTTATGTTTTGCAGAAGTTTTCCACGGCCATGTTTGATTTGAACAGAAGCGCGGTGGGAGCCAAGGTTGAACCTTCTGCTAGATCGACCAGTCTATGGCCCAACAGATACTGAGTTGCACTGGGGCTGTGGCCGGTATTGCTGGAAGCCACCCTAACAATTTTGAGCAGACCCAAACTTCCAAGCTTCTCATTTGTTCATAGAAGCAAGAGATTCCGACTCAAAATGGGATGCGCATGGTCCCCCAAACTCCCTTTCTGCACCCACAGCTGGTGCTGGGTGGCAGGTGTTGAGCCCCCGAGCCATGAAGTAAGGATGTACCGACCGTGAAGGTGTGTGACTTTGGAGTTGCCAAGTTGACTCTCGGCAGAGTTCAGGGTGTGGCTCGTGGCCTTTTGGGTACCTAGAGAAATCTAGAGGCTTGGTGGGAAAAGGGGCAACTCAAGTTTTTGGAATCCCTGAAACTGGACGTCCAGAGTTTAGATATTTTGGTATTTTGGTTGCTTTTAGTGGGGAATTTCTGTGGGTTGGACAAATTGTACTTGGCCAAGCTTGAACTCTGGCGGTGTTTAGATGATCCTGAAGATGCCAAGTTACGGACTCAACTCCGCTTTGCATGTATTGGGCGCATCGAAAAGCGGAGGTGTGTGTGGCTTATGGAGTTTCATCTCTATACCTGTTCTTTTAGTAATCTAAGCGAACGCAAGCCATCTTGTACTGGCTGGTTTTTACATGCAGGTCTTTTCTTTGACTATCAGTCATTGACCAAAGTTGCTTGGGGCTTCGAGTCCTCCCAGGTTCCCTTTGTTTCTATGGCTTGCGTTTCTTCTTCTTCTTCTTCGTCGTCGTCTTCTTCTTTTTCTTCCCTCTTCCTCTTCCTCTTCCTCTTCCTCTTCTTCTCCTTCTTCTACTTCTTCTTCTTCTTCTCCTTCTTCTACTTCTTCTTCTTCTTCTGATTCTTCGTCTTCTTCTCCTTCTTCTACTTATTTGTCTTCTTTTGTTCTTCCTGTTTGTCTTCTTGTTGGTTTTCTGTAGTGTGATTCAAATTCTTAGCCATTCCCCGCTGTTTTGAGGGCCGGGGAGGTGATAGACTCTAAGCCAAGGCAACGGGAAGGCGAGTGGGGACAGATGACTGCACAAGCAGGCGATGGCTCGGCGATTGCTTGGTGGTTGGAGGGGATGGATCCACTGTATCAGCAACTGAGAACGTCATCTCGACTTCTGTCGTCTTCAACTGCCAACTGCAGATACCAATGTGGTGGCTTCTTGAGCACCACACATCCACCCCAAACATCCAATGAGAACTTGACATATTTCAATCGGAAAAACCATCAGTTGGTGCAGTTTTGCTTGGATAACCCGGAGTCTGGCTGCGATTGTGAGGCACCAAGCATTGGATGGCGCCTGAGATGTGGAGAGGGACCAGATATGATGAGAAGGTGCGCCTGGGGGGAGATTCTTTGGCTGGCGAATTTCGGATAATTTTGGCAGGATTGATGTAACTGCAGGGTTCGCTCCCAACACTGAAGGCGGACTCAGGTCCTTTTGTGGAATCTGTTGAAAGGTCCTGCCCTGGCGTAGGTGGATGTTTTTTCGTACGCCATGGTCATCTATGAGATTGTTTGTCGAGAAGTGCCTTTTGAAGAGGAAGAACCCGCCGATGTGGGTAAGTATACGCTGGCTGGTGCCCCTCGTCGAAAACGCTGGTGCCCCGCGCTGTGTTGACGGTGCTGATTTATTCAGCAATTTTGATCTTGGATAGACATGTCATTTGTTTTCTTTGGTTTGCTCTAGTTTTGCGGATTGGGTCCAAACAATTTGTGAGACTCCCCTGGAGGTATCCCAAACTTGCACCTTCAAGTCTACAGTTTGTATACTGTATACATCCTGATGGTTATTGGTTTCATCGACCATGTCCCTTGAGATCCCTTCAGATTGGTTGTTTTTGCCCTTTTCAAAGCTATTTTGGCACCCGTTAACCGGTGCTTCCCCGAGGTTCGTCCTGACATGGATGCTGTACCGCCCGACACACCGCCGGACCTCATCCATGTGATACTTGGCGCCAGATTCAGAGCTGGCTGGTGGCATAGTTTTTGCTGAACATCAGGATCTTTTGCTTCAAAGGAAAATCATTTCTATTTGTAGAGTTTTTTTAAAATTTCTATTGGCGCTGTAGATGTCCCATCCCTTTTCTATCGGCTTTCGCTCGAGGATGCAGGTCTGCTGGGCCCAAGAATCCAGAGATCGACCCGGATTTCCTGAGATCATGAGAATGTTAGCTTACCTTTAGAAAAAAACACTTAGGGTTGACCCGGTTGGCAGCTGGGGAGGAAGAAAGACTGTGCGATTTTCAAATTCAGACCAGCAGCTGCTCTGAGTGGTTCCCAGTTTTTTGGCACCTTTCTCCTGCTGTCAAGTTACGGGCACATGGCGAAGAAACAGCTGGCAAGAGAGCGAGTCTGCAAATACCTCGGGGGAGGGCACCGGAGAGAGATATCCTGGATATTCCTGGACCACAATGGAGTGGATGAGCGTTTGTGCTGGATACATAGATATTGTCGATATTGTATACTTGGAGCGTCACAGCCTCCGTTAAATTGGACCCCACAACATGTATGGAATCCCCAAAAGTGTTTGGATGGTTTGACCGACCATGGCACATTTGAATTACACCTGCTTCGAAGTTAACGAGCAAAAGTCCTTAACTTAAAACTGTTTTGCCGCGGCTTTCACAAGCCCGCAAGCCATTTCAACCACAGCTCTGATGTTGTACAAGTGCAAGTTAGAACTGTCATCGCTTCCACATATCTCAATAGACATAAGTGACATAAGAGTAAATCACCATCAAAGTTCTCAAGGGGCAACTTTCCCATCTTTCAGGGGAACCCTGTAGTCTAAAGAATGACATAAAGAAGGTGCACCCTTCGAGGATGAAGATCTTGACTGGAGTTTCTTGGAATGTGGATCTCTGTCGCTAAGACACCAATGGCTTGATGTCTGGCAGCCAGAGCGACACCCCGCAACAAGAAAACTTGTGATCTAAAGCAAAATCAATTGCAAAATCCTCTACGAAGCCTCGGCATCATGGACATTTTCAAGCCATTCCCAGTGAGGCAGGTCTTTCTCCTCTTGGACCCTCCGGGCGTGATTTTTGTAGTGAAACACCTGGGCAAGGCTGCTCTAAAAGTGCAGGCCGGCAGCAGGATCGGTTCGCTGACAGCCGAACCAGAAAATGGCCGCTGCAGCTTGGCACAGCTTAAATTGCAGAGTTTGCAGCACATTCCAAGCAATGATTTTGATTTAGCTGAACATAGGGATAACCATTCCATCCTGGGATTCGAAAGCTCCGCTCCTTTTCTTATATGTTCGGCAAGTGCTTCGGCTTTGCTGAGTCCAAATTGGCATCCAAGCCCTACTTGGAATCCTTGAGTATTGCAACTTGGCCATGTGGATGTCATGTCTGTGGCATATTTGAGAAGGGGTCAGAAGTGTGTTACCCCCAAATCGGATGATTTGACAGCACGAATGAAGACATATGTTGGTTGCTTTGTTTTTTTTGCAGGTCGTTTGAGAGTAAGTTGCTTCGCTTGGGGCTGGAAATGAAGATGTTTCGGAGACATTTTGAGACCGAATTCTAGATCCGAGTTTACACAGGAAGAACTATCTGTGGACAAACCAGTTGCATTCCCCAGAAGTTTGTGAAACCAATCCGTTCCAAATATGCAATCTCAACATGTCCCCAAAGTGGTGAGATTGCGCCAGGTAAGGGATGCTGATGCCACAACATGCCCAACATGAGGCAGTGTCCATCAGTGGACCAACATCGCCGCTTGGATCCGATGATTCCGATGATTCCGATGCCGATCCGAGAATCCGAGCCGTAGTGGCTGTACCAACCCGAAGTTGTCTCCGTGTTGTCGAAGGAAAGGTGTGTTTTGAAGGCAACCCGAAGCTTGTTGACTAGCATATGATCCACAGACCTGTGATAACTAGTAACAACAACTTGCGGCTGCTGCTTATCTCAACCTTTTCAGGCTAGCATACCCCTGACGAAGGCGTAAAACACGGAGGGACAAATGAATCATTGCAATGTTGCAAGACTGCAACCATTCGGTTTTGATGTTTTGTTGCCTAGCACATGCCTTAATTTCTGAGCGGCTGAGCGGCTCTGATGAGACCCTTTGAGTTTCGCTTGTTACGCTTGATGGGTGGATTGTGCTTCATGCGACCATCCAGGTGAAGCTTGAGAAAAGCGGCACCGTGACACCGTGCACCTCGGTATGGGACCAGCAGTTCTTTGATTCTTAACCGCTGGTATGGGGGTGTACACTGGGTGTAGGGAGATGGTGATGTTGCATTTGCGATGCCAAGATCAAACTCCCATGGTATGATCATAGGTTCTTCAGGTGGATACTTTGTCAGCATATTGGGCTGCATAATCAAAGAAGAGTACCAGAGGCCCAAAGCCTTCCAGAATGTTTCCTAAACCAGGTAAGCTGTCGCTAACACCCCAAGAATTGAGAAACAGAGTTGTTTTTTGCAGGTGAGCACTACCATTTCTGGGTGATATATGACTGTGGATGAACATCAAAATTCGACCCTCACTTTGAGGGATCTTCGAAGGTTTGGGCATGACACCACTTCCTGCCAAGGTATGCTGATGGCATGTGGCGTTCACAAGGCATATCTTCAACTACGTCCTACGTCCCTTGGCAGCCTTGGCCCTTGGGGATCAATCGATGATTTTGGGTTGGAAAACATGGGTGCTGGGCGCTGGATCACCTGAGGAACGCTTGGCTTCGACACCGAAAAGTGGGTCCAGTTCAAACTATCCATGAGATTCAACAAAGTCAGCAAGTTTGGCCGTTAGTTTTAATGATACCACCAAAAGCCTGACTAGCTTGAAAGATGACATATTACATCATATTACACCATATTACATCATATTACATCATATTACATAATATTACATCATATCACATCATATTACACCATATTACACCATATTGCACCATATTACATTACATTACGCCATATTACACCATATTACATCATATTGTATCATATTACATCATATTACACCATATTACACCATATTGCACCATATTACATTATATTACGCCATATTACACCATATTACATCATATTGCATCATATTGCATCATATTGCATCATATTATATCATATTACACCATATGACATCATATTACATCATATTACATCATATTCCACCATATTACATCATATTACATCATATTGTATCATCGAAGGAAGTTTAGAAGTCAAACTTCCGACAATATGGACAGATGAAAAGCAGAGTAGGGCAGAGGCAGAGAGAAGAGAAAGATCAGAAGAGAGAAGAGTGGAAGAGAAAGAGTAAGAGGACAGAAGATACAGATGCGCGAAAAGGTAGGAAAGTCGCGAAACACTGTGTTTTTCCAATGATTTGTGGCTCAGGAGGGTCGAAAAGTAGGCTCGCTAAAGCGGCGGGTGCGGAGCCAGCTGGCCACAGGAGCGATGAAAAATTGCACGCCGTTGTGGCGCGAAGCACATTTCCAAGTCAAAAGGTACAAAACACCTCAGGTCCGGACCACTTTTGGAAGTTGAGATGTCGAAAAAGTGTGCGCCGTTGTGGCGCGAAGCACATTTCCAAGTCAAAATGTACAAAACACACCATGGTCGGACCACTTTTGGAAGTTGCGATTTCGAAAAAGTGCACGCCGTTGTGGCGCGAAGCACATTTCCAAGTCAAACGTGTTAAAAACTGGCGGTCTCGGACCACTTTTGGAAGTTGAGATGTCGAAAAAGCGCACGCCGTTGTGTCGGGAAGCACATTTCGAAGTCAAAATGTACAAAACACTAGGGGTTCGGACCACTTTTGGAAGTCCAGATGTTGAAAAAGTGCACGCCGTTGTGGCGCGAAGCACATAAAAACACCAGGGGTTCGGACAACTTTTGGAGGTTCAGATGTCGCTTCGCTTCACTACACTACATTACACTACACTACACTCCACTACACTACGCTCCACTACACTACACTACACTACACAACACTACAACTACAACTACACAACTACACCCCACTACAATCCACTACACTAAATTACACTACACTACACTACATTACACTACACCCACTACACTACACTACATTACACTACACTACCTTCCACTACACTTCACTACATTACACTACACTACACTCCACTACACTACAACTACAACTACAACTACGACTACACAACTACACAAACTACACTCCACTACAAACACGAATTACCCTACACTACACTACATTACACTACAACACCTACACTACATTCCACTACAACTCCATACATACAAACATACACTACCACAACACTACAACCATACACTGAATGCCACACTGCACCACAAATAGACAGTAGGCAGATCGACAGACAGGTACATAGATAGGATAGAAATCGGTAGATAGGTAGATAGGTAGATAGGTAATAGAGATGAAAGAGAGAAAGAGAGATAGATAGATCGATAGATAGATAGATACATAGAAGATAGGCTGGTAGGTAAGTAGATAGTCAGAGAAAGAGAGAGAAAGAGAGGAGACCTCAAGCACCTTTCGGTCCATCAGTGGATTCGCTCTGCCATCCCTGATTCACAGCAGCCAATCTCTCCTATAGGTTTCCTATTTTTGAAACTTCCGCCACCGCCTTGTGCGGTACTACTGGTATTATATCATATTACATCATATTACATCATATTACACCATATTACACCATATTGCACCATTTTACATTATATTACGCCATATTACACCATATTACATCATATTACATCATATTGCATCATAGTGTATCATATTACACAATATGACATCATATTACATCATATTATATCATATTACATCATATTACATCATATTACATCATATTACACCACATTATATCATATTACATCATAGTACATCATAGTACATCATAACACATCATATTACATCACATTGCATCATATTACATCATATTACACCATATTACATCATATTACATGGTATTACATCATATTGTATCATATTATCTCATATTACATCATAATACATCATATTACACCATATTACACCATATTGCACCATATTACATCAAATTACACCATATTACATCATATTGCATCATATTACATCATATTACATCATATTACACCATATTACATTTTATTACGCCATATTACACCATATTACATCATATTACATCATATTACACCATATTACATCATATTACACCATATTACATCATATTGCATCATATTGCATCATATTACATCATGTTACACCATATGACATCATATTACATCATATTATATCATATTACATCATATTGCATCATATTATATCATATTGCATTATATTACATCATATTACATCATATTACATCATATTATATCATATGGCATCTTTTTATATCATATTACATCATATTACATCATATTACACCATATTACACCATATTACATCATATTACATCATATTACACCATTTTTCATCATATTACACCTGCGAAAGGGAACGACACTATAATGCATGCACATTTAACAGACTTTGCCACCGCTAAACGTGGCTCAAGCTCAACGAGAGAAAAGGTTGCGAGTGCTGTCCGTTGACTCATGTCGTGACGCTGCGCTAACTGTACGAAGCACTGACTTCCTCCAAGAACAACATCCAGGACAAGGATGCGATTGTTCACAGGTTATCAGCCGTAGGGCTCTTTACACTCGACGAGGGAGGAGTGCTTACGTGCTGTTAGCCGGCGCCAGGAGCAAACGATCGTGAAGGCAAAGGACCGATCAGCTCTACATCGTAAAGATGCAAAACAGCAGCGGTGACACTCAGTTTACCTTCAATGACAATCCTGTTGCTCCAGCCGAAGATGTTTCACAAACTTCACCTGGAACTGCAGAAAGTGGATCAAAGTCTACAATGTCGAGATCGACACTGCAAGGATGGAACATGACTGGACAACGAAGGAGAGCTGCAACTAGTACTCCAAGATCGGCACGAGATGGCACACGACAAAGAGGTCATCGATCGCCGAGGAGATCGACTACCCGGCCGAGAACTCCGAGATCAATCGAGGACAGACCTGGCAGGACTAAGGGTGAAGGTCGAGTCAAAAGACGAACAACAGAAACTAGTGGAAGTAGAGAACCCATATCAATCATTGATGAACTTAGGGCACAATGTCAATCCCTTCAAGAAAAGGTGACCCATTTGGAGCTTTACGCTGCGTCACGGGATCAACTCATCAAGGACATTGAAATCAAGTTCACAAATCACCTCCAGACACAGAATCAGAATGTTTATGATGAATTCAACACCCTCAATCAACGGTTGATGTATTCGACAAATGAAGTTGCTGAATATCAAGCCGAACTCATGATAGCATCTCAAGAAGACGAAGGTGCAACCCTTCGTATTGAAGAGCTTGAACGCCGAGGTGCACTCATGGAGAACGGAGCCAGGAGAATTCATCAACGAGGTATGGAGATCCAGGAAGAGTACAAGGATGAAGTGCATCACCTTCGAGGACTTCTGGGTAACACCGAGTCGAGGTTAGAACAGTTACAACACAATAACAACCTTACTACAAATGTTGCCGAGAAATTGTTCCAAGAAGGGAAGGAAATGCAGATCGGTTTTGAGAATTCCATAGTAACCGAACTGAACTGGCATCGTACTCTCAAACTCATCTAGAAATGGCCAATCAACAGCGAAGATTTGAAGTTAGAGAACTGATGGATGAAAACAATCTCATGAATGAAGCCTTAGCACATTCTCGTAAGCAAGCCGAATTGTACGAACAGAACATGGAGCAGATCACTAGAGAGTATCGAAAGAGAGTGCATGAGGCAAACCAAGCCAAGATAGAGAGTGATCTACGCCACCGAACCACCGAACATGATACAATCAAGCGCTTTGAGGCTTACAGGAACACTGAATCTGAGGCTATTGCTCGATTGAGACATGAATCCAACTTGGTTGTGAATGCCAACAGCAAGATGGAGCACTATGAGAAGCTCTATGAGAACGAACATGAGTTGAACAGTGAACTCCGAGCTGAGATCAAGGACCAAGAAACGAAGTTAAGACGGTCACTACATGGGTATCCTATGGCCGCCGGCCACGGTCCTAGTAGAGCTGCGATCGAACATCTTGAAAGTCAATCCAAGATCGCACAGATTAGGACTCAGGACCTCGTGGAAGAGCTTGGAGAATGCATGTCTGACAACGTACGACTCAAGGAGGAATTGGCTAACGTCCCGAAGTTAGGGCCGAC